TCCACATGTAATTTTCATTGCACAGGGATCATTTCATCTCACTGACTATATACTAGCTATTTATTGCTGTTTATACTTGATGTAAATATTCTGTATGGTGTTTTGATCAGTTGGATTTTTCTATTGCCCTTTTATAAATCTGTGCCCATTTTATTTATTTCATGCCAGTTTGCTTCTGTCAGTGGAATTTCCATCTAGAATTGTCCTGAGTTCAGTCATAGATGACCTTTTCCTCAGGCCTTTCTCTGTGAATCAGACTGACCTCTTTCCTGTGCACATCCACTGCCATTATCCTTTATAATGCACTCAAATGTTGAGCATTGCTTAAATCTCATCATTTCATAGTTGTCAAAGATCAAATTTTAAGAAGTCTCAGTTCTCCATATACACCTAGTACAATTACATAATACAACTTTCAGGTCTAAGAGTAAAAATGGAGTGTTTAATGGCATCTTGTAACTCAACTTTTATGATGATCTTGAAATAAGTGAATCTCCTAACGCAGTCAGTGGCATCCTTTCAAGCAAAGTCTTGAGAATTGTGATGGGAGTAGTGTGATATAAAATTCAGACTGTTAGGGTACTCTTTGTCAGAATAAGTGTGCCTCAGTCTTTGTAGCTGACTTCAGTTGTTGAGCCTGTGCTGGGAAGAGGTTCTCCAGGGAATGGAAGCCATGAAGGGTTTTATACATAGATCTATACAGCCTTGACCAGTCACAGTTCAAATTCGGGTGATGATGTGCTTTGTCAAAAAATGTGCCTCGTGATTGATGAAACTAAGAGCCAGCAAGGGACTAGTGGTAGCTTCTAAGTGGCTTTCATGAGGAGTCACACCAAGCAAGACAGCACCGTGCTAACAACTACTACAGTAATTAATCTGTGACATGCACTACAGTCCAAGAACAAACAGAAACAACACGAATGAATTAGCTGGGCACCACACCTGCCCAGGTATTGATAGTGATGGTGGGAGACTGCCGTGGCTGTGTCGGCTCTTCAGGCTACGTTCATGCTGGATGGCTGGGCCCAGAGAGTTGTGGCCAATGGAATTAAATCCAGTTGGCGGCCAGTCATGAGCAGTGTCACCCAGGGCTCGATACTGGGGCTACTTCTATTTAACATCTTTATTAACAATCTTGATGACGGGATTGAGTGCACTGAGTGCACCCTCAGTAAGTTTGCAGATGACACCAAGTTGGGGGGAGTGTTGATGTGCCTGAGAAGAGAAAGGCACTACAGAGGGACCTGGATAGACTGAGTCGATGGGCCAAGGTAAACTGTATGAGTTTCAATAGGGCCAAGTGTTGGGTCCTGCATTTTGGTCACCACAACCTCAGGCAACTCTACAGGCTTGGGGAGGAATGCCTGGAAAGCTGCCTGATGAAAAGGACCTTGGTGTACTGATGGACAGTCGGCTGAATATGAGCCAGCAGTGTGCCCAGGTGGCCAAGAAGACCAAGCATCCTGGCTTGTGTCAGGAATGGTGTGGTGAGCTGGACTAGGGAAGTAATCCTGTGCCTGAACTTGGCATTGGTGAGGTCTCACCTTGAATACTGTGCTCGGTTTTGGGCACCTCAGTACAGAAAGAACATGGAGGTGCTGGAGCAGGTCCAAAGAAGGGCAGCAAGGCTTGTGAAGGCCTTGGAGATGTGCCCTATGAGGAGAGACTGAAGGAATTGGTGCTATTTAGTGTGGGGAAAAGGAGGCTGAAGGGAGACCTTAGTCTCTTTCTATATCTGAAAGGTGCTTACTACAGCGAGAGCAGGGTTGGTCTCTTCTCACTGGTGACAGGTGACAGGACGAGAGGAAACGGCCTCAAGTTGCACCAGGGTAAGTTTATGTTGGGTATCAGGAAACATTTCTTTACAGAAAAGGTTGTTAAGCACTGGAATAGGCTCCCCAGGGAGGTGGTTGAGTCACCATCCCTGGATGTGTTTAAAACCATTTGGATGTAGCGCTCAGGGACATGGAGGGCTGTTAGGGTATTATGGTTAGGTTGTGGTTGGACTTGATGATCTTTGTGGTCTTTTCTAACCTGAATCATTCTATGGCTTCTCATGTGTGAGGTGTGCTGTCACATGTCTGGCAACTGGTCCTCTTTGGAAGGCAGTTGTTTCTGTTAGAAAGCTGTTGACCTGGAAAGTTTTTAAGGTGGCTAACTTTTCACACTGTGAAGAAGCAGGGATTCCACCAGATGAGGAGTTGGACTTGATGATCCTTATGGGTCCCTTCCAACTTGGGATATTCTGTGATGGTTTCAGTGAAGTCGGTATGCACAGTAAATAGAAATATCTGTATCATAATAAGGCCATAAAGTTTTATAAATTAGTAAGCATATTAAACAAATTACTTAAATATAAAAATCAAAGTAGAATAAATGTCTGGCTACTAGCTGAAAAATGCAAAAAATATGCAACTGTGCAAAAAAACCCTATTGTTCTTGGCTTAACTTAAATTGAAGGAATCTTGTGGATGTATACAAATGATATGCTGGGAAAGTTTAAACTTTTTGTCATTGTATACAGACCATGAAGAACAGAAGCAGCATTTGAATTAAAAGACACCTTGCGTTATTCTCCATGCTGCATGGATTTGCATAATTTCCATTGATATGTAAAAAGAACTGTGCTTTCTTCCTTTTCACCCTCAAACTTTTAACATATTGACAGCAATTTTATAAATAAACTGGATAATATAATAGATGGTAATGTTCCATATGAGTTTCAGAGGAAAAATCTTTGATTTTTTAAAGCATTAAGTACACAGTAGTTTTCTCTTAAACTAATGTAAATTGCATTTAAAATGTTGAGAATTCAGTGATGTTTTTATGCACTGTGTTGGTATTACAACTGCACTTTCTTCTTTATGTAAGGTTCATGTCTGTCAGAGGCAAAGATTCAGGGTGTGGGGTGAGAATGTACTTTGTAAGAGCAAATGCATAGCACACAGTGTGTTGTAGCATTGAAGTTCATCACAGAAGTACAAAACAGAGTCAGTTCGATTCATACTTGCTTTTTAAACATTTTGCAGAACAGTTGATCAAATCAAATGATTTACCATAACTAAAAGAACAAATAGAAAGTTCTGACACTGTGCAAATGGAATACTGTGTATTTGCTAATCTGCTGGGAAGCTCGTGTGTTTTTGGCAGTCATTTGTCCTATCCTTCTTCTAGGAATACAGGTTTATTCTTAAGATTACAGGAAAAGAGAATTGTAGAGCAATGCCTGGTTAGTTACTGGTGTTTCCATTTCTCTGAGGCTCTATATGCTAATAAGAAAGCATCCATAGTACTACTACACCATGTATAGAATGTGGTTAAATAGTTGTCTAACTAAATCTTTTGCTGTCCTAAGTTCTGTTGGTGCCCCGAGCTGTTTAGTAAATGGAGCAGAAGATTTTATTTATTTTTTCAAAACAAAATGGAACATGGCCCAAAATAAAGACAAGTAGAATTTCTGAGAACTAGACATCCAGCCACCTTCCCCAATATATCCGTATTCTTTACCATTCTTAGACATTACGGATGCTAATGTACTCCCTCACTAAATTTGAGGAAAATGTAGTATGTGCCTGAAAGGTCATCAGTGATGTCTGCTGGTTTTTATCCATTTTTTTTTTAACCATAGCCCACTGGTAGAAGGAGCTCCAACTCCCATTTCTTTGTGAGCTTCTCCAGCCCTGGCAATCTTACTTGCTGTTCTGTGCTTTGGTTTTTCCCTTGGATGCATGTCCTTTGCATTTGTCCCATAGGGTATCTATTATACTGCAACTTTTTGCTTAGGTCTCAAATTAAGAACAGTGAGCCATTGAATATAATCATGTTTTGTAAGATAAAATTTATTAGCAGTGTTCCTGAAAGCCATCTTATGTTTACAGACAGGGTGACTGAATCAGTGTTTAACAGTCTCATTAAATTCAATTTCTTGTTATTGGGAAAATCCTATTCAGCAAATTGCTGATGCTTGCTATTTCAGTCACTTGCAGTCTTTGGAGAAGACAGCTGTGTTAATACATTATTGAATATTTTTAGAATCCTTTAATGCTGAGTTCACAGGAATCTCCAAGTAGACTAAATAGCAGGAAAGTTTTTTTGAACAGTTTTGCTTTGAAGTTTCTAAGGGGCTGCTGCAGTGCCAGTAAAACTTAGTTCTGAAGGCTATAAATAACAAGAAAACAATGATTTCCATTGGCAAGCAGATCTTAATGATGAGAAGGCAAAGGAGGCCCTGGGTACAGCAGGTGCAAACATGTACTAAACATTATGATTGACTGGATCTGGGCAGAAGTTAGATTTTCAGGGAGAATTTTCCTCTGAATGAAAAGATAATAGAGTGACTTATGAGACATAACACCTCCTGCACTGGAAAAAAAAAAAGTCTTTCAATGCAAATACACTTTCTTTGAGTTAAGATAGATGTGAGACCTTTTTCCTGTGTTGGGCTAGATCCGGGATATAAGATGCCTTGTTTTATTTTCTGAAATTGCCAGTTAGACCATATGGTTAATGAAGTTATAGGAAGCCTTTTTATTCATATTATGGGGTCAGCTACTCTCAGAAAAGAACACAGAAGATGGAAAATGATTGAGAAATTTGGAAAGACTTGAAGTTGTTTGGATTCTTTAAAACAAAACATGATTTATTTTGCAGAGTGAGAGAAGAAAGAAATTGAGGAATACCAGTTGGCCTCATTTAGAACAGTTAAAATGGGCAGTAATTAACAGCTAGTTAGCTGTACACCATCTTGATCTCAGTGGAGGCTGCCTGGATAGGGGCCATAAATCCATACTGTAAATGAGAACTGCTTCAAGATGCTTCATTCAGCTAAATGAGATGGTAGCCCTCAGCTGCTAGGAAACTGTGAGGGCAGTATTTATTAGGTCAGAGTTTGGGACTCACCAATCTATTTCGTTCCCTCTGGCTATGCAGGTGTTCATTACTGCTGACAACTTTTTTAGAGCTGCAGTAGTTTAATAGTGTGCTCTGTTTTCCTTTTGTAGGCATTTGGACAGTCTTTCTCAATTCACCGCAAAGTAGCTGAAGATGGGGAAACACGAGAAGAGACTCTACTCCAGGAATCTGCATCAAAAGAAGCTTATTACCTGGGGAAGATTTTGGAGATGCAGAACGAGCTGAAGCAGAGCAAGGCGGTGGTCACCAACGTTCAGGCAGAGAATGAGAGACTCACTGCTATTGTCCAAGACTTGAAAGAGGTAAATGGGTGTGTGGAAGCAGCAAGGGAGTGGTTTTCTTGGAGTTTCTTGCATTGATGGTTACTGAATCATGAAAATGCTACATAATGTGAAAATATTCACCTTCCTACCAGCATGTGATCCTCCTGCAGGCCCGCCAGCTTGAGAGAGCTGTGGCACAGAAAGGGAAAAAAAGGAACCCTTATTATGATTTTTAAACAACAGTACCCACTTGAGGCAGCTATAATTTTTTAAGTGCTCAGCATTTGGTTTGTATTTTATAGTGCCTACATGAAAGTGCAATTTATGTAGCTTTTTCTTAAAAAAAAAAAAAAACACCTTCTGATATTCATACAATTTCTTTTTTTTTTTTTTCCTCATCACCTGTATTGTTACGTGGGTATTTTTTGGAATTGCTTGCATTAGATAAAGCTTTCAGCAGTCTTCTTAAAAATCAAAATGCATGCATGCTCACGTTCAGAAAATAGGCAACACTGCACACTTTTCTTTTATTCATCAGCTTTCACATCCATCCATCCACTCATTTAAGTCTAGATTGTTCTGTTCCATACCTCTCCAGTTTCAGTTCTCTATGCCGAGCAGCAATGTGCTTGGGGGAAGGCAGCACTTGGTAGCCCCACATCTTCCCTGTTTCCTTGTGAATACTTGGATACGGGGGCTCCCTGCTATCCAGCTGCAAGAAAAGACCTTTCTTGGGCCATTTTGGAGGACTCTTCCTACATGTGAACTTAACAAAGATTACATGTTTTCTATAGTTGAGTGGAGTGGCATCCTCTTAACTTACAGTAACCCCTTGGACTGGATCCTTTACTGTAGGTTTAAAGATTATTGCACACAAAAGGATGAAGCATTCTTATTTAATTGTTGTACTGAAGTTGCACATAGTACAAGTTGGATTTCAGTAAGAAATAAATGCATGGTAATCAATACCATGTATTTATTTCCAATATTCAAGTGAAATATGTGATTATAATTGCTGTCTCAGTTGTTAACAAAAAAAAAGAAGGAAAATCAAATTTATACTCACCCTAAAATCATATCCTACAAGATCTGTATGTGTAGCCAGCTATATGCTTACCATGCTTGGGTAGAGCTCAGAGGAGAGCAGAATCCTTTTAAGCTGGCTTCAGTCACAAACAACCAAGTCAGAGGATATGTGTTTGTACTTGTTTCCTTCCTCAGGGGTCTCCTCCGGTTCCTTCAAATGCAAAACTCCCATTTTCTGACATGATTATTGATCTATAAGTTATTCAGAAGGCAGTTTCAATACCTCTCCTCCCTAGAATATTGATTGTCCTCATCTCTTTGGAGATAATAGCAACCCTTAGTGTGACACCAGCTGCAGTTATTTCCTGTTCCAGTGAAAAATAGAAACAAGCCCTGGTAGTTAATTAAAGTGTAGGGCAATAATTTGCTTGAATTTAAAACAGTCTGATAAACTATTCATTTATTTGTGATATTGGACTACAAGTATAAAGTCCTTTACTGTGCTGAACTTTGTATTTGGTGGGACTACAATCAAAGTATTTAAACAGAAATGGGATTAGTGTCTTAATTACTGAGCTTACACCAGACACTGTTGATGATTAATTATTTCAATATAGTAATATATAGAAGGTGATTGATACTACCATGGGCTGTTAGGCATCTCATCACACTGAATTACATTTGTATTTCACCTTGTGTTCAGAGATATTATCCTTGTACCAAGCTCAGTCCAATCATATAAATCCTAAGTCAGTAACATCCAAGTGGCCACAGGAAGGAGGTGCCCTTCTGAAATATGTCCACTTAGTTCTGAGTACTGCTAACAGGCAGTGCACAGCTTACTTCAAGTTTTGACAGCATTAAGATGGGGGAAAAAAAAAACAACTAAAAAACCTTGATTTAAATGTCCAGAGCATTTTGGTGTAAACACAATTATTAGAGGATGCCACAGGATGATAGCTACAATAAGAAAGTAATTTGTCTCTTTAGCAAATTCATTTGACAATCTAGTTAGAGCAAAATAGGAAAGAAAAAAAATGGTCTTTATGTGAGCAGCTCTACGGAGTGATGGAAAGATAGATTCTGGATTTAAGTTACTTGACTGTATCCAGTCTTCTTTTCCATGCCCCCAGCCCTCTCCCATCTCTAGTCTGTCCTGGGAGTTCTCTTCTGAAGATGTTCGGCTTTCTGAATTTGCTCAGAAATTCATAGTTATATAAAAGCCTGGGAGCATTTTCTGAGCCATTACAATACACTCACATGAATGCTGATAGCTTTTAGGAATCTTGGGAATTCCATAGCCCCAGAATTTAAAAATTCATGCATGTTTGCAAGTATGTGCTGCATAGTCACAGCTGTTATCTGCAGGGCAGCTTGACCTGGATCCCTCTTGTTATAATAGCCTCAGGTCTCTGGAGATTCTGCATCTCATTCTCAGAAAGCAAACAAACTGATTTCAGTGCTCATCATTAGAAAAAAGACATGTTTTGGAAAAACTGAAGTATCTGTTTCACACTGAAGGTGGAGGATGAACGAGGGATCTATGTACCCAGATGGCTTTTTAGATCCATGTTGAAATGATCAGAAGAGCAAAACACTGGCAGCATCATTTATGATGTAATAAAACTCCGTCCCAAGAGTTTTGGATAGAAATATTATCTCCTAGGCAAATAAAATATGTGCCTTGGGAACTAGGTAGATTATTTTTTCATTCTTTTCCCCCACTTCAGATATGATAAGCAGAATGCTATTTGGAGATTTTTAAAACTGTCATAAGCTGAACCAGCAAATGTCCTGATTTCAAAACTAATGCCAGTCTGAGACCATATTGCATCTATTTTTTGTGCTGCAGGTGGACGGCCTCTTTGTGTGAAGAGATCAGTAGGGTTGTTCGCCCATTTAACCTTTTCCAGCTGCATATGCAGTGCCTGTCTTTGTTCAAAAGGCCAAATGAAAAAACTTGCAGAAACATATTTTGAAATTTTTTAATAATGATCTTTAATCATTTTCTAGTGGTTGCTTTTACTTATTTAAAAACACTGTGTTTACTTACAGTCTGGAGATGATGGACTGTTTCTTCTGTTTCTGCCACTGTGAAGTCTTTCGTTATGGTAACCACAAGCAGACTCTATAGGTGAATAGCAAGGATGAAATCACTTTGCTGAGAAGCTGATAACTTACTGTCAGAGGTGGCCACACAAGCACAAATGATGAAGCTCAGAGTCTGGAGCAGAAAGTTCTTGCAGCGAAATCATGATCCTCCTCTGTAAGGAGGCTGAGTGCCTTGGAGCTGCATGTCAGCCTCTAAACTGGTGGGAATTGGAGGAGAAAATGCATGAGGTGATGAAGGGAAGCAGGGGAAGCTGTAAAAAATGAAGATGAAAGATGCTAATACAGTGTTAGTTTTGTAGGTTTTATGGACTAGGATTAGGATACGTGTGAGGTGAGTAGGTTAATGTTTTTTGTGCTTGAAGAGTCTGGCTTGAAGAGGTGCTGCTCAGCTCTTCCCAGCACTCTTGCATTCATGAATGAAACAAGACTAGTGAAAAAGAGAAGAAATATACATAGGTGGGGAAGTGGAGAGTTAAACCTCAATAGTCTGTGCTGCTAAATGTCACTGTAGCAGCTGCTGGGCTTGCAGAAAGAAATCAGCACCTGGGTACCTGCAGTCCAGGAGATAATGGATGAATAGGGACGTTTGTTATGGCAGTGTTAATGAGCCATGGCAGCTACATACATCTGGGCTTCTGGAGAGCAAAACCAGGGATAAGAGCAGTAGAAAGTAGATAGGGAGGAAAAAAAAAATTGGTGAGGGATTATATGCTGAAACCAAGTGAAAAAAAAAATCTAAAATTAAGTTGTGTAGCCCCCCTGCCCTTGAAATCAACAGCAAAATTTTTATTCTCTTCAGTGGTACAAAGATCTTGTACTTCCTACTACTCAGTAAGGGCATGAGAGTAATGGCTTGGACTCTGAGGGGAATATGTATATGATGTGAAGGGTCAGCACTTGTTCTGGGTGAATTATTACAAGAAGTCTCCCTGCTAGCTATAGCCATTTCAGAAATGCAGTTTCATGCTCGTGGCTACACCTGCATTCTGAAGAATATGTACATGAGAAATGGAAAAAGTGATATTTTATATTAAATGCAACTTCAAAAAATTGATAGCTGGCTATTTCTGTTTTAAAAATGGTACATCTTCAGTTTGAAGAATCAGAAGAATTTAAGTTTTTCTCTCTTTCTTGACAATTCAAAATAAAGCCTAAAAACCTTTTATGTCAGCACATGTCTAGTAAATACCCTCACCAATTTTGTGTTCTTTTGTTGCTGAAGGGCTAGACTGTAACAGGAGTTGTGCACGTAGTGCTTCCTGCTTAATACAGGATGTAGTTACATCCAGAACAGATTCTTAGTGGACTCTTCCTGGAGGCTCCTTCTGTAAGTAGATGCCTCTGTTTCCACCTGTAGAATTTTCTGTCCATCTAGTGGTATGTTTGAGTCAAGTCCAGGAACACCTCTGGCTTGAACTCAAGTCTGCTACTACTCTTTTGCTGGATATTGAAAATTTGCCGTAGGATCTCCCAAGATGTTTCCCCATCTGACCTCATCTCTGAGTACTTTAGTGCTGACCTAGTTGAAGGAGAGAGAGTGCCAGTAATGTCCTGTGCTTTGGTTTCACAACAGGACCAGGGGAGATTTAGATTGGTTATAAGAAAAAATCTGTTTACAAGAAGCTGAAGCAGGTTGTCAGAGAGGTGGTGGGTGCCCCATCCCTGGAGGTACTCAAGTTCAGGGTGGACGGGGCACTGAGCAACCTGATCTACCTGTGAGTGTCCCTGTTCACTGCAGGGGGTTGGATGAGACGTCCTGTAAATGTCCCTTCCAGCTCAGTGATGATTTTTTGACTGTTGCAAGGTTTGGGACTCAGATGTCTTCTCTGACTGAGGGAATATGGATCCTCTGCTTCAGCAGTCAGTGACAGGCTATTTTTGGGGTGAGATTCCTTTAGGTG